GGCTTTTTTTTAAATATTTGGTGCGCTGCCCCCCCCCCCCCCTTCCCCCGGGGGCGTGATTTTGATGAAAACTATTTTTCGCTAAAACATATGTCATTCGACTCAGTTCTTTATGCTGATTCCGAATAGTTCAAGGAACAGACTAATGGAGCGTTCTTTTGGAAATACTACAAGGTTTTTTGGAAAATTAAAATTCTCTATTTCGGTGGCAAAATCGTAGAAAAATGGACTCGTATTTAGTCAGGTATTTTTTACAATAATTTCGTCCGTGGACCCCCAGGGGTGTGATTTTGATGAAAACTATTTCCACATCGCTCAGAGTCTCCTACCGACTACAGTAGACCTTTTCCACTACTCCGTAAGGAAACCCTGCAGAAACCTATGGAACTCAACAGGAAATTGACGCTAGAACGTTGTCATAGCGACAGTCTGTTTTGATTGCGTGTGCTTCATGGAGATGGAACTCCAATGAGTTAGGTCCGAAAGTTCAAGATCTTATAAGATCTTGCAAGAACTCTTGGGTACCAAGTGATCAACCAAATCTTGATAAGATCCTTGACAACATCTTCAATGTTTCTTGATGAATTCCTAGTGTCAGGAAATTGCAACAAAACGTCCAGGTTCTTACACTTCCTCACATTAAGATGGTATAAGAAATATATAGGATTTTGAATAAATCTGGGCAAGATCCTAGAAATTTAGGATCTTGTATTCACAATTACTGAAAGAAATTATTTTCGAAATAGAACATGATGAATAAGGAAAGGGGAAATTCGTCGATGTCTGTCGACTCCATACGCTGACGACGATGCACATTTGAAACTAGTTGATGAAAACTGCTTTTTCGTATTCAGAACACTCGATAGCTGAGAAGATTTTCTATTTTTGGTGAGAGGTACTTCAAAAAGTTTAGGAAAAATTCTCAAACTAATATTATTTTCTAGTGGAAATTTCTTTGCGTCATTTTGTCCTAAGCTTTTGAAAGTACCCCTCGCCAAAAATAGAAAATCTAACTAACGAGGGAAGGCCACCAACTGCCTCCTCGCTTTTGAGCTTAAACTCAGCTGACAATAAGTAATCGAACGTGCTGATTCCGAATATCACAATGGTTTTTGCCCGCTTCCGATTTAAAGACCCGTTTTTTAAAGAT